ACCAAGTGAACGAGAGTTTAACAGAAATCATGTCCTATCTAGCCAATGTAATTGCGCCTTTTGATGGAACAGTTACTGTCAGTTCAACAATACCTCCTGTCCAGGCAAACTACACTACCATTCGAAACTGGGCTGAGAAGATATTGCTGGAAGTTGAGACAAATAATAGAACTGCTTACCAGAATTATGCAAATATCATGTCCCTCTATGATCAGGTAGGTTCAAGTTTGATAAAATTTGTGTTTTCCAAAATTGTACAACATGATGGTGGTGGTGGCAGTGATGATGGTGGTGATCATGATGATGATTGTGGTGGTGATGGTGACAGTGATGATGGTACCAGTGATAATAGTTGTGGTGATGATGGTGGTGATAATGATGTTTGTGGTTGTGGTGGTGATGATGGTGGCAGTGAAAATGATAGTGGTGATGATGGTGATGGTTGTTGTGGTGGTGATGGTGACAGTGACAGTGGTTATGATAGTGATGGTCGTGGAGATGGTGGTTGTGATGAGGGCAATGGTAGTGGATACTATAGTGATGGTTGTGATGATGTAATGATGATGATAATGGTATAGTGCTGATAATGGTTGGTTGCGATTATGCTGATGTTGTTCCCTCCACCGTAATTGACATACTGTGCACTGCAAACTAAGCAACTCAAAATTGTGAGGTAAAACTTTACTAAAATATTACGAACGTGTTTAATTCTCAGATCAAGGAATACAATTCAAGTGGTGAACGGGCTGTTGAACAAGTGAAGCAATCTATGAGACGTCTGGACAACATCACAGCAAAAATAAACGAAGCGAACTCCATATTAAGTCAAGACTTTTATAACAATGTCAGGGACAATGATCAAACACTTGAGCTGCTCAGTAAGGTAATGTAGATGGCGTAGGAATTATTCTCGTAGGTATTACCCACGTAGGTATTATTCTCGAACGGTCCCGGAACTGCCCCTCCCCCCTGTCAATAATTTCCGAAAGCCTTAGAATGATAACTGAATAACTGTTTAACAAAGCTGTAACAATAATTTTCATCAATGAAGATTTCCAGCAACAAAAGGTGGTTATTTGGGGGCAACTCAAGTACTCAACCCCCCCCCCCCCCCCCC